TAATTATTTTTAAAAAATATATATAGCCGGCAAATTGTCGGTGAGCTGATTTCCAGCTACAAGGAGAAAAAGAAAAACAGATTATGCAGGAGGGAGATGCAGGGAACAGGGATTGGGTGTTCTGCAAAGAGAGTTGGAGGTAAATAATTTTGCAGTAACTGTTATGCTGATGTTGTGGCTGGTCAAGCAAATGTTTGTGCTTGTTTCTGTATGATATAATTGTTCATATACCTATTAAAATACTGATATTCTGGTCTATAACTCCTCCCCGAACTTCCCGCTGCCCTGTATCTTGGTCTCTCATTGGCTGTAGGTCATCGCCGATGTAGTTTTCAGTCAGAAATCATTGCACACAGCATGATTGTGAATTACCGACAGCTCCAGATATTTAGCATGCCAAAAATTTTGCGGGCGTCTGCGACGTGTCGGCGATTCCCTCAGATCGCGTCTTTGATAATTCACACTGCGTGATTGTCACTCGCGTGAACGAGCACCGATTTGCCTCTGATTTCGGGCATTTGTCGGAGATTTCGCAAAACCTGTCGGCGAGTGAAAAATCGGGCTAAAATCGTGCAGTGTGAACTCGGCATAAAGGGCTGCCGGTCACGAAGCAGAGACTTCACTGGATAGTTGATTCTATAGCCCTGGGTATTCTTTGGTTTAATTTACCAAAATAGTTAAAAAATAAAATAAAATAAAATAAATAAAAAGGTAAAGTTGGCATAAAATGAAAATTTACCCTGTGTTTTTGAATTTTTTTTATTTAAAATAAAACTTGCAAGTTTTAATCAAAATATCACAAGTTGATCTTCCAGTGAAACGATTAGGCCTCTCTCTGGTGATGAATACAAGTGACAGTAAAGACATTTATGTTATGAAACATATCTATTTTAAATAAATGGTGTTCTTTTGAGCTTTCTATTCCTCAAAGAATCCTGAAAAAGTGTATTGTGGTTTCCATAAAAATATTAAGCACATTTATTTTAAACTGTAATAATGTTTCACAACATTACTGTTTTTACTGTATTTTCAATCAAATAAATGTAACCTTGGTGACCATAAGAGCCTTGGTGACCTTTCTTTTCATTAAGTTTGAGAAAAAAAATCTTACCATCTTGAATGTGTACAATTGAAGTACAAATATGCAATATTTGCATCTTTTATAAGTGGGACTAGAACAACTGGATGTCATGTTTAGGCACCCACAGAAAACACTTCTGCAAAGCTTTGAAAAATCTCCAGGCCATCTTCATCTCTTTCAGAGAATGACTGTAGTTCAATCATTAGCTTTTGCTTTCGCTGTTCCTGTCTTCAGTCAGATACACAGATATTTTTTTACAGAGCCCTAACTAGCAGAGCAATTTATGTCCTATGGTATGAGCTCTTTGGGCTTGAACTCAAAGGCTGTACCCTTATTTCACCGACACTATTCATCTCTGGGAGGCAAAGGCAGCCTGAGGTGAAGGTAAGGGCCTGAAGATAGAAGCCATAAAGCTGAGGAACTGCCTGGCTTTTGTGCAAAAGGATGATCTATACTGGTTGGTGGAGCGTAAAACAATAGCTAAGGTTACTGTTTGCCAATCTGATGTCATAGACAACAATCCAGTATCAGCGAGACTCTATTGATCATAAACTGACACACGCAAAGAGGTGGTGAACTAACAAGTTGGACACCACAGAAATTCTTTTAAAGTTTCTTTGTATTGAACTGGTGTACTTTATGTTTATTTATCTAAACCCTTTCAGACAATTATAAATGCTCCTCTGAGGATTACTTTTCTGGGGATTAGGTTGAGAATCTTTATGCTTGTCAGTTGTACCGGAAGACAGCTCTGGATTGATATTTATAGAGTAAAGTAAATATAGCATCAAAGCCAGAAAGAAAAGCTCCTGTGGTGCAAGCATGAATTTTTAAATCAATTTCTTGACTAGCCCACATTCAGTCTGAAAGCGGTTTGTTATTATGCACTTTCCTTGAGACCTGAGTGCTTAGGAGAGGAAACCTTGCCTTTGACTGTTGAAAGTGTATCAGAGCAATTATACTGAAGTGATTCATGGTCAGACCTTAATGTTCTTGGCTCTCAAGCTCCCGCAAGATGATGGCCAGCCAAGCTAATGTAGGCAAAACATAGCCTCAAATGGGTTTTACTTGTCCCAGACAGATTTAAGACACAGTTTTGGTATCAGCCAAGCCATGTGCAAGTGTTATAGAGTTTAAGCAAGGATATTTCCAAATTACTGGCACATTCTGAAATTTGACACACCAGCAGTTTGCAATATCAAGCAGCAAAATGAGCTGTTTTGTACAACTAAAAATAGCTGGAAGCGAATGACACCAGAAGCCACAATTTACAAATAGCCGTGCCTGCCTTTACGAGAAAAATCAGGTGGATAGGGATATAATCAGTGACTGAAAGGGGAGTGAATTTTAAGTAATATGTATACAACTTAGGTTAGACATAACCTATACCAGAATCAAAACAAAATTTGTTTCATCATGATGATCCATTGAGTTATGTACTACTGTAATGAGAGCAATACCAAAATGTAGCAAAGCTCTTATATGTCTTGTACCACTATTATAGTTAAGTTCATCTTTTTTTTTTTTTGCTTATTTTTTTATATACATTTTATTTTAATGAAATATAGACAACTTATAAAATAGTAGTATATTTCACTAAATATGCACTTATCTAATGCTCCCTAATTTTGATCTTTGTACTGTATATATGTTTCCACTGCTTTAGACAAAATCAAAGAAACCAGGCTAATATTTCCTAAATGTGTTTTGCTTGGAACAGACTGCGCTGCAATCCTTGAGTTATATTTAATGCTTCCAAATGTGTGGTTATTAACAGAATACAATCTCCTGTCTCAAGCCCTTTGAAAAGTGGAACAATGTACAATGCTTTGATCTTTTAAAATGATATAAGTGATATTAGAAAGGAAAAAGCTGGACATCTTATCTTGCTGGGTAGTACATCACATGTCCTCCTGGCATCTGGTGGAGCGGTAGAGGAGGATTTTCTATGAAAGGAAATAAAAGCTTCAGTATTTTGTGGTCACTTTATAAAGGTTTTAACACATGCTGTGTTTGTTTTTTTTTTAGGCATTTTTCCTACTTGGTCACTACTGAAATTGGAAACCACTGAGTTGTTTTGTAATGACGGTCAATTGTTCGTTCTCAAATAATTTTTTGTCACTGATAAGCACTATTCACTTTTTGCAGAACTTTATGCAAGACTTGCTCTCCAAAGCATTATTTATTGGCCCAAGGAGATACACATTTTTTTAAATCTCAACAATTCACATCACAACTGGTGCAAAGATGTCTTGTCCCTGCCCAGCGCTTACAAGCTCCATGTATTGGCCAATAAAAATCTGACTAATCATATATATTTTTAATATTTATTGTTCACAATTGTTCTGAATTTATTGTTATTATTTTTACTTAATACCTCTCCACAGATGTTTTGGAGCTGTTAAAGGTGTTAATCAATGGAAATGTCCTCTTTTTCACTCTGTCCCGTCTCTGTCCTGCCAGTATCAACTCTTGTGCTTTTTACATTACGAGGCTAATGAGTTAATTGGCATAAAATGGAAGTGATTGCTAAACATTCTGCTTTAGCTCTTTGAGCATGTGGTTGTATGAATTTGCCTAGTTTTGCACCTCAGCTTATTTTTTCTTTGCTTTCCGTCAAAAATTCAGCCCTGTAAACTTACCAATTCAATAGAAAATGTAAAAACAGTGGATTTTACCTCACAAATTTCATTAACATTATGGCCTTTGACTGGCAACTCTGAGTCTTTCATCTGCTGTTGTTTTTTGAGACATTTTAGATGGCTCTGGTTGTTTTTGGAGCTCTTGGTGTGTATAAAATATAGATCAAATCCAGTTAGAAGATCACACTGCTGATACAGAAAGAATAGTTAATACAACGTTTCATTGTGTGCCAGCAATGCTGAACAAATACTGATAGAAATACCTGTACATAGATCATACTGGTCGATATGTCTTTATTTCGTACTTTCGACATTACCTTCTCACAAAGTGTTACTTCAGGTCATTGGTATTTGTTCAAAGTCTGTTGTGTTACTAAAAAATTATATAACTTTAACACTGAACTCTACCTGCCTGCTTCGCTGAATAACTTTTAATTGATTAACTATTTGTCACAATGAAAATCTTGTCATTTTGATGTTCAAACAATTGAAATAACAAATATAATGAACTATAAAAAGAAGGCATAAGCTTGATCAATATACTTGATGCCAGTCAATAGCAGATGAAGTCCTTTGCTCACATTGCAGATTTCAGCATCTGCAAATACACAAATACATCTGGTTATCGGACATATCTGACAACTTGTTAGGACTGGAGAGGCTGTTGCAAACATAATCCAAAATAAACATTTTATGTAAGTTAAGCATTTTTTTTTACTGTCTGAAGCAGGAACAGATGTATGCTCCAGCTGATGAATTGAAACCATCTGAAACAACTCTTACAGTCTTGCTCCATAAATATACCTTTCAACATGTTAACGTGAGATCAAGAAAAAAAAAGCAATAAGAAGAAGTAACAAGTTTGTCAGCCTTGTCTCCTGATTTCACTGGGGCAGATGGTGAGCAGGTGTTGCACCTGACAGTCTTATTATACCAGTTTTGTTTGTTTATTGTATAAATATATATAAAATAATTTCTTATGAGCTTTAAAGTAGTATGAATAGACAAAAACATCTAAAAGACTGCATGATTTAACTTTAATTTGACAAAATTAATATGTGTTTTAATCCAAGTCCTCTGGGTCATGGCACCAGATCTATCCTAAAAACTGACATTTTGTAAGTGCTAGCAAAACACTTTTTAATGTACACAAAGTTAGCTCATATTCTTTCAGTGTGTGGAAACATTGTCTGTTTAGCTCTTACATTTTATCCGAAGCAATTGAAGACAAGGAATTTACTGATACAATCAAATATCAGCATATTGCTAATGCTCACAATATTCTGCCAGAATATATGCTACATACCAAATTACAGATGGAATCAATAAAAAGTGGAATAATTTGATCTAAAATGGATTGATGCTTTACTAACGGGTAACATTCATCAAAACTGGGTACAGTCGGTAAAGACAGTAATCCCCCAAAGTTCAATAAATGAAATTAACATTGCATTAGCAAAGAAACAGGACTAATAAAATACAACCAATAAAACAATTTAGAAATGGAAAGGGCAAGTTCAACACTTTCTCACTGTTCAAATAAACATTCTCAAACTTTCAAATAAACACTTTCAGCACTTTTAAATAAACATTTCCTTGGTTTCATTTGTTTTGCCAAATGGAAAAAAAATTTAAGATTCAGTTAACTTAGTTCACTTAAGTCAAACAAAATTCATGCTGTTTCCAAAGCTCATTTCTGTGAAGTTCAACAAAAGCCAGCTCTTTGAAAAAAAAAATAAAAAATAATAGAAAACACACCTGAAAAAATGATGACGCAATATTAGAACCACATCAAATACATTCATAATGATTTTCCACGGCCTAATGTTTAAAATACTTGAGGAATAGGCCTAAACTCAATCAGGACTGGTTTTAGTCAAATACAGGGACCATAGCCAAAATGCAGGTCTTTACCCCAAAAAAAAAAATATATATATATATACGTATATATATATTAAATTAAGCATTTCCTTTAACAACAGCCATAAATCATACAGCAGTTGGTATCATGAGTGTGCAACTGAGAATGACTACAGACTTAAACATCACATTTACATGAGGAGGGGTGTCACAAACCCAAACCCCAAAATGTCTGGATTCCTTCAGACTTGTTAAATAAGTGGCATTGGAATACCTGTTACAGATAGTGTAAAGATCTTATTTGAAAGGTGTATTTATTGAGCCACCTTCTGGTTAGCGATGTCAGATCCCACTTTAATGCCAATCAAAAGAAAGGAAATTACCAGAAGATTTTCTGCCTTCTCTTTTAATCACCTCATTACAAAAATCTCTATTTTTTTGTGTCAGACATTTAAAAGAAAGTGGAAATATGCAAAGGGAATGTTTCTGCTTTGCGCAAAGCCTTTCAACCTGCTAATGTCAAAATGGTGGAGTCATGTAGTCGCCCTACATTTAATACACCAGTGAGAGGCAGCAGTGCACTAATATGCTGTTAATGTGCAACAAAACAACAGAAGAAGAAATAAGGAAGGTTAGAGCATGAGCGAGCAACAAGCAATGTTTTGAATTTGTGCTGACATCGTTTGGCTCAGGTGAATTGGCACTGACTTTGCTGAAGCTGGGTACTGCTTGCATTTTTACCACTGGACAAATATTGATTACGTCTATACAAGAATAATAAGGTAAGTTATCAAAAAATAATTGTGTGTTAATGTATCTTTCTGTCTGATGCAAATTTGAACTGACCTACTCTGTGTCTACATTGGACGCGAGTGGCGTGGCGCGGCACAGCAGGACACGACACGACAAAAGACAATAGAACCCATTATAATCAGTGATTATATTCACACTAGATGCAGGTATTTGCAACACTCGCTTTGTCAAGTCCAGTGTGGACAGCTTCTAACTGTTGCGGCACGATGTGATGTGTCAATGATCGCATCTAGTGTAGACACGGTGTTTGCTAACCATTCTAGGAAACACACGGAATTAATCTATCATTGGTATGAAGAAGCCTAAGTTGTTATACATATTAACTCCGCGGTATAATTAATATGCTTGACAGAAACCGAAATGTATCATCAAATAAATATCGTTCTGCCATTAAGAGCGTGTGTTTACACAGTCTACGTTATACTCTGGCTGACAGCAGCAGTGTCACTGCTGCAACATACGGTGCCATGTTCTGCAACAATGTCAGTGACACTAACACAATCCATCGGCACGTCACAATAAGTGTCAGTGGCACATGCCAACCTTCACTGACACATGTGCCGGATGTGCCACTGAGCATAGTGGCATGTGCCAATGGTTTCCGTTTGTCAGATGCCATGCCACTTAATGTTAATACTACCTCTCCGATGTTAGTGTTTTTATTGTATTTTTAATAAAATATTACTACTTTCAAAAATATTAAAACATTTTACTGTCCCCAAACTTTTGAACAGTAGTCTATAGTGTATCAAAAGGAATGACAATCTGATTCCAATTTGATATCTACAAACACTTCCATGGCGTACATCTGTCCTAATGCATTACATTTTAATTGGGAAATTTCCACACACCAGCCATACATCTTATATGCCTCGAGGAATTTCTGATGATTTTCATTTTTGTGCAGGTTGATGAAGTGGCAAGATGAAGTTTGCAGGCACCCATATGGACCTGCTGTCTCATTATTACATCAAATACACTTCTCTTGTGAACCTATAAACAAACCAAACTGTATGTTTTTGTTCTCCTAATTGTTCAACTAAAACACACCAAAGCCCTTGTGCTTTCCACACACACGCAGTTGCCCTAGAGCTGCAGGCTGCCAGTGTGTCTAAATGAGCAAATGAGCACAAAATTAAAAACACTGCAATGACAAACACTCCATATGATGAAAAGGCCTCTTGGTGGTGGAGCTTTATGATATGAATGATGACTGAATGATGGCCTGTGAGCATGGCTTTTCTTTGTGCATCCCACTTATACTACGTCTGCTTGAAATCAAGGCTCTGCACCAGATGCTCTCACAATCTGCATTCCTGCAGCAGGAGCATGCATAGTTCACACATCCTATCAGCCGGCTCAATTTAAATATTTTGCTGTGCTTCTTAATTTTTCTTCAACCTTCTCACCTGATCCATTCCAGATGTGTGAGCCACAGGCTAAGTGAGGTGGCAGTAAATTGCACACTTATGTTCTCATCACACACCGGCTTGTGTGTGAGCGCACAGTACAGTACATGCCTAGTATTTATCATATGACAAAAATACACGTTATTCTATGGAAATGTCATAATATTGCTGTGCCAGATGAGCTCTGCCCTTCCAACAACATCAGGCGTCAAACAGTTGTACGTGATATTCAACACAGGTACTGAATAACAAGCTCATGAAGTTATGGCACCAGACACATCTTATTTCGTTCAGCCCCACCCTGAGAGACAGAAACATGGAAGAACCTCAAAATTCCCTTCATCTTTGAAGGGATAGTTCACCATAAAATTAACACTTTGTCATCGTTTACTCACCTTCATGTCATTCCAAACACTGTTTTCACTTGGTAGGTGAACACAATGATATGTGTTGAAGAAAGGTGGTTGCTATTGAAGTAAAAATACCATAACGGTGTTGTAAAAGTCATCTATATGACTTGTGCGGTATATTCTAAGTTGAAGCTGAACGGCAGTTCACATAGCGTTTTGTGTTCCATGTGTTCTTTTAAACATTGCCGTGTAAACATGAGCTGTTTCTCAATTCCAAGAACTCAAAGAACGACTTGTGTTCTCATGGAGACTGGTCTTGACAGAACAAACTCGGAAGAAGAACACGGAACGTATCTTTGTGAGAATGGGCTTTATGCACAATCACTACTGCATTTTGCCAGCTCAGTTACATCCGGTGCAGCACCGGAAGCCATTTTTTCTATTGGCGTTAACTGTGGAGTCATCGCAGGAGAAGTTGATATTTTACACTCGCTTTTTAAAAGAGCTTCCCCAGATTACTGTAAACGAGATGTTAATCGCATTGTGAGGCAGTAAGCTGTCACTCCCAACAGCAAGAGGGAGAAGTTTTGGGTTACATCGATATTTTGAGGGTGAGTATATTCATGCTATATATCGGGGTGGCAAACTCCGGTCCTGGAGAGCCGCAGCCCTGCAGAGTTCAGCTCCAACCCCAATTAAAACTCACCTGCCTGTAGCTTCCTAGTAACCGTTCAGACCTTGATTAGCTCGTTCAGGTGTGTTTGATTAGGGTTGAAGCAAAACTCTGCAGGGCTGCGGCTCTCCAGGACCGACGTTCGCCACCCCTGCTATATATCCAACAAGTGAATCTAGCTAAGTCCCAGTTTCTTACAGTTCATACCTGTAATTTCATTTATTTGTTTTAATAACGTGTTTACTGATATTATTCATTTTGACTGATGTGTTTTGACTGTGTAATGAAGGATCAGGTGACAATGAGAGATAATTGTGAGGGTGTTGTGTTTCAGGTCAGTGAGGAGGGCAAGATATTAGCTTAAGCTTATGCCTGAATTAAATGCTCGTTTTAAACAACCGTTTTTGAAGTTTCTACACAAAGACAGGCATAGTGAAATTATTCAGTAAAAAGGATCGTAGAGCTTAAGAGTTTAAATTTGGGTATAGTACCCACAGTATATGGATATGTAAATAGAATATTTAAATATTAAACAATATTTAATATTTGACATATTTCTATTTAAATTTCTACTTAAATATTTAACACATATTTAAATAGAATATTAATGCATGACTTTTGTTATAGTTTAATAATCTTCACATGTTGTTAAATGTATATACACAATGTTGTGCAGGAAATGTTTAACCTGCGTTTGCTTGATTGTTTTCAATATAAAAAAAGTTATATTTTTGGCAAATATAAAAGCCCTTTCACACCAAAAGTGAAAAGAATAAGCCTCAGGCTGAAGGAAATGTGAATTCACGTCTGTATAGTGTAGGCTGCTCATCTCAAACAAACCTTTCCACTGTGCTGCCATTCTGGATTGCATGAAGAATAGAATGCAGGAGAAGAAAGTTCTTCAGCAATAAAAAAAAAAAAAAAACGCACACAACACCTCTGCACTTACTCCTGATTTCTCTCAACATGGGGATAGAAGAGCTGTCAGTCAATAAATCAGTCAATAAATTTCAATAAGTTACTTTTTGAAAAAGTAACTCAGATATTTCCTTGTAAATTAAAAAGAAATGCGTGAGTTTACTAGTTACATGAAAAAAAGTAATCTGATTACATAATGTGTTACCCCCGACACTGTAAATCATGCCGAAGTGATGTTCGGTTCAATTGATTCTTTTTATTCAGAT